GCAGATGAGAATAAGGTCTCGTGAAGGAAAATAGCTGGCAATTAGCTAAGAAGAGTTCAGCCTTTAAGTCAAAGTATACCAACTGAGAGTGACCACCAGCTCAGCAAAACTGAGCAGAAACTGGTTCAGTGGCAAAAACCAATGATTCAAACACTAAAAGCAGCTGTCAGTGCAGCTTTTGGAAGAGTGTTTTGTCGAGACAGTCTTATACAGGAGAAGTTATTTATCATTTATTTGTCTAGATAGCCTGTGGTTCCAACCTTCAAACAGCAATACTGTTATGAGACTATAGATGTAGTTTTTGCCTGCTGCTTTGAAACGGGAGTAGGTACTACAATGGTTGGATTTTATACTCTTCCCAAGGGAAATGTCTTGTCTCATAACCACACAACACTTAACCCTGAAAGAATATTAATCTATCCAGAGCAGTTGGTACAGCGCCTTTTCAAAAACTCCAAACAATTTTAAGGAAGATAGATAGATATTAAAAAGAGTGGCTGATTGATGTAATCTCCTTTTGATCAGATAGCCAGAGCAGTAATTCCATTTGTATTTCCTACAGCAACTACCATTAAATGGAGCACCTGCAAAACTAATATCTGACTAAACTAGAAAGCAACGAATATGGAAAAAGAAATGTGATACTAAGCTGGCACGCAGAAGATGTGAAAGATTTAAATAGAAAAGTTCATGTGAAGACTGTCAATAGGCTCTATATTTAGGAGTTGCTCTTGATGGAAGTATATTCTAAGACCAAAAATTCAAGTCTAAGGATAAAAAAGGTCAATTTGTTAAGAATTACAGACCGAATGTTCCACTCCATAAACTAGAAACAGTTCCTTAATATAGGAAAAAAAATTAAACAGTGCATTTTTAATGGAACTACATCAGACTATTAAAAGAAAAACAACAACAACAACCACCCACCTTCAATCTCCTCTAGCTATTACAGGTTGTCTATTTTCCAAGACTGTAACTTCACTAAACAGAAGTTCTAACTGCCTCACTGTGTGCCCTCTGTTGAGGCTGTATCTAAGAATTATTTGAAAATTCCCCATCAAACATCTGAAATTACCTCTTAGGAAAAAAGTAGCTGGGAAGATCATAGCTGCAAGCGGTGCGGAACACAAAAGGTACAGATGAGGCACTATAGAGGAGGAACTAGCACTGAATTATCAGGGATTTAAAAAAACACCATCACAAAACAGTGCAAGCTTGAGGGACACACATCTGCCTTTAACTTACAAATATTTGTTAGGGCTGTAGTAAAAGCAAACCATTCTAAACTTTCTGAAAGGTATTTTCCTTTTGGAACAAAGGCAACTTAACGTCAGTATGAATCAAATTCCTTTCAGCTGTTTTTAACTCCACTTATTTTTGTCACTCAGAAAAAAGCACATGATGACTCAAAGCATCAGAAGTTTAAGGTCCAAACTGCCCCTGCTGGATTTAATAAGATGAAAATTGTACCCATAAGCAAGCTTACTTATTAGGCCTTGCTATAATGTTTCCACAAAAGCTTAACTTGAACACAGCACCTGGTTTTCAGTCAAATCCAAGCTCTCACGAGATGGTTTAAATAAGGAAAATACTACCATTAGCACCTATTCTGAGCCCCATATTTGGATGCTAAAGCTACCTACTGGAAGGACTTTTTACAGACGTCTTATCCCAGGCTATTTCACCACTGTAACGTGCAGTCCCACAGAGATTCTTACAACCAGCCCAGGCCTACAGCTGACAGATTTTTGGACCAGATTCCAGCTGTTCTGCTGCAAGGGCCAGAGTTTTCTCTGTGGGGAGATGGTTTAATTTGGAAGTGAATACTAAGAATTTCTTTTAATAGTTTTGTTCTTTATGCGTGATATAGGAAATAAGCCTGCAGAGACATTCACTTTCCCAAACGGTTCTTCAGTGCTGAGAAAGACATCAGGAGACATTTATTTGTCCCAGCTGTACTCGACATCTTTTGTAACAGGAAAAAGGTATGCTTGCTTTAAAGCCTGACAGACCATATTAACTGTGCTAAATAAAAGCAACAAGCTGTATGTTTTTAGTAAGACCTTTTTTTTTTTCATTACTTCTAGTTCCCATTTTCCACCTGTATTTCTACATACCTCAGAGATCATAAATTACGTGTAGTTACATTGCCATTAGTCAGACAGAGTCCCAAGGTCAGGCTATTTTCTTTTCTCCAACAGTGAACTAACTGCACATGCCCTCACAGCCTTCCAAAACGAGACAACACTACCACTCCTCGCAGTGGTAAAATAACACTTCCTCCACCAGATTTCTTTAAGCCCAGCACTCCTGGGATTGCCCACTAAGTGACAAAATCCTGCTGCTAACAAGCACATTATTCTGGCTGCAGATTTGCAAAGGATTTCTATTAAGTAAACTAGCAAGTAAAAAATGAAAAGGAGCAATTTCAGTATGCCACAGGTCTAACTCTTCTTTCTTTTTTAAAAAATTCTGAATCTTCAGTCTTGCTTATTCAGCTTAAGCATTATGTTAAAGTGCAGCTCTCCTGAGTAACAAAAGAGGAAGCTTAACTGAACAACACATTCCTCACTCATTTTAGGTGTCCTGACATCAGTGAGCTTTTATCCAACAGTGATACATAATATCACATGAATAACCTGAATGCTAATGACCAACGGGAAGCGCTGCTGCCCTCCCTTCACCCTCACAAACTCCCTGAAGTTACAAGTCCCTACCATATGGGACCTCTGCCAGTCTGATAGGACTTCTCCTAGCAGCGACATCACAAGCAGCCAAATTAAAGAATTCTGGTAATACACACAAACAGTACAATTAGCTCCAGAATTATGTAAATAAAAAGATCTTTCTACAGGCTTCCCAACAGTACTATTGAGGCCCCTACAAAAGGGTGTCACACCACCTGGTCTGTCCACATTAGTGGCAAACAAGAAACAGCCCCTAGATGAAAGGAGAGAAATAACCTACCCAAGAAGATGTTTGGTAAAGTGAATGGTTAATTTTTATTTTCTTCTGGAACATCCTTCCTCCTAGTGAAAAAAGTAATGCAGGTATTTTAGCCCAGTATGACAAAGCTACCCGGGAGTTTTAGAGTACTTTTTATTGTCTTGACAATTATCACACAAGACAGTCACTACAAGTCAGAGTACTTCACAGTAGTTCAGTACCAAACTACTTTTTCAGCTACAAAATGCTACTTTTCTTCCAACAGAGGCTTCAAACACCCTACATTTAACATTCATTTGAAGATATCTGGAAAAGCAGAAAGTCTCAAACTAATTACTTAAGCGTGTACTGAGCACTCTTGGGCGTTAGGATAATGACTGTACTTTCCTTTTTCGGCCCCTCCCTGGGAACATTGGCTACTCGGCTGGTAGATGACATTACAGCATCACAACTATTACTGAATCTCAAGCTGGCTTTAAAGAATAAAGCAGATCTTCATCTTCCTGAGACATACGTGATTACAACAAGAAGTTTCACAAAACTGTACATTTATGGAGAACAGACACTTTTCTTCTGTCAGTTCCTGTGGTTTGAGGCCGGTGGAGGTTCGAGAGGGGAAGGGAGAAAGGAGTCAGAACCAAAGTGGAGAAAGCACCCTGCGTCCTTAGCTACCACATCCACTCCAAATCTAAATTCCCATTAGATACAAGCATCACAGTCCCAGGACAAAGCATGCAGCAGAGTGCTGCTCAGCTTTCTGATACAGGGCTAAAAGGGATACTGTAACTCCTAAGAGCATATTTACCCTTTGTTTTCTGAAGCAGATTTGGAGGGCAAGACTCTAAATGTAAACCATAAAGACAGCTGTGATTTTCCTTTAAGAATTTAAGGCAATTCAAACAACTATAGAACTCTGCTTAACTGAACACATTCCTGTGATAGTTTATGGGCTCGAATTTCTAAACACTCGAGCTGCTGATGCCATGCAAACTTTCTCCACACAGTAAGCAAAAAGCTGCAAAACTGCACTCGCAAAACTTGAAGACTTAATCATACAAAGGTTAGGTTTTTTATGATGAAGTCCAGCAAAAATGTAAACGTGGGTATTCTGCTGATTGAAGCTGGAAGTGCTCCCTGCCTGAAGTATCAGGGAGCTCAGCTGTTTACAGCATCAGGATCCAAACTTTCTGAAGTCTGCCACCTATGTGTGATAATTATCAAGTGCTTTTACAAGGTCTCTAGAGGGGCTTTATTAAAACGCTGTTTGAGGGAAATAGGCTGTCTGAACAGCACGTGAATTTGTCTTTCTTTGTTATTAAGAACAGGTTTAGTCATACTAATAGCAGAAACTCAATCATGATTTCAAAGAAATTATTTTGGTTATAAATCCCATAGAGATCAGGCTAGAGTACCAAGAGAGGAAAGAACTTCACAAACAAATAAGCATTATGAAGAACAGCTCCCTTGTTAAAGCAATAATGTGCACAGCCACTGCTACAAAGAAGATAAAAAATAATTCTGGTGCTACCTTCCTGCCCAAGCTTATTTGTACTTAATAATATTTCTGCTAACGGACAGATTCACAATTCATGAATACCTACCATTCAGAAGAAGCAAGAAAACGTCTTGAGATCTTACAGCCATGACTGTAAAATCCATAGAAATGGAACAGAAAAAGAATTAGTTATCAGCTAGGACTAACTTTAAGTTGGCCATGCTGCCAACTCAGCTTTCAGACACTTGCTGCAAATCATTACTTTTTTTTTTTCCCCTATCATATGATATGGCCTCAGAAACCAGGAGATTTGATTTGTTGGGTAGCGTTCAGGGTAAGGTAACCTCACCCTCATTTTGCGGGTCCTTATCAAAGACTTTAATAAGTTGATATTCTCTGCCTAATCACTATTTTTCTAACTTAGAAGAGAAATACACAGAACTTTCATGAGGCATTCAAAGGTGTGGAAGGCTGCCATTAACTTCCGTTTCATTTTTGCTGCCGTGAATCGTGTACTTTCTGATTTCAGTTTCACAACAAAGGATAAACTCTTCGTTACCGATTTGAACGCCAAAGCCAAAACTCTTCATTCACTGCGCACAGCCCGGAGATGAGCCTCCGCCGCTCCACCAAGGCAGGCAGCAGGTGACCCACACCGCGTCCCAGAGAGACGGCAAAGAACACGCGGGCCGAAAGCAAACTCTCTCCGCTAACTCAGAGCGTTATGTCACAAGCACAGAGTTCCTTTGGCAAACCCCCCGTGGGAGGAGCCACCACTCGCTCCCGGGCCGCAGCGTTCAATCCCCTCGCTCCTAAACTCTGCATTTTGTGCGGCAAGACCTCTCCAGGAGCACCTGCCCCGCCGACGCTCGCTCCCAGGTGACCCGGAGGAGGGGAGCGCGGTAGCGGGGGCAGCCTCCGGGACAGCGGGCGACGGCCGTCCCGCAGGACGCTCGTTTAGCGGAGCACGGACCGCCAAAGCGAGCCCGTGAGCGAGGAGGACCCGGGGGAAGGCACGGGGAAACGGCCCCGGGGGCACCTGTACGGGAGCAGGGCCGCGGGGGGACGGCGGTACCTTTGAGCTGGGGCAGCGGCGAGAGCTCCACCTGGCTGCTCTGGCTGCGGAACTGCGAGGAGCCCTGCGAGCGCTTCTGCCTCTGAGCCTTGCGCACCGATTTCCGTGTGAAGCCATCCACTTTCTCCGCGGCAGAGATGGCCGCCGACATGGCTGGGCGGTGAGGCGGCGCGGGGGGACGTCGCTCTCCAGAAGCATATATTAAAGCGGAGGGAGAAGCGGGCGGGCAAAAAACGGGGCTCGGAAGGAAGGGGGAAAAAAAAAATAATAAAAAATAAAGGAAAAAAAAAAAAAGGAAAAGAAAAGCTCGCCGCCGCCGCGCACAGCCCGGCACTGGGGCGGCCGCCCGAGGGGACGCGCTCCGTGCTCCCGAGCCTCCTGGATCCGGGCTGCGCCTGGCTCCCGAGTTCCTGCTTCCCTCGCAATTTCCTCTCCGCGCCGAGCCGGCTCCAGGGGAGGCGGGGGAGTCGGGGGGGGGGAGCGGAAGGGGGGAGGAAAAGGAAAAACAAACAAACAAACCCGACGGTAACTTCGCCCGGCGGGGCGGGCGCTCGCCAAACTTTCCGGCGAGCGGGCGGGCGGGCGGCCGCTCTCCTCTTCAGGGCCGGATCCGCCGCCCGCCCGGCTCGGCCCGCTGCCGCCTGCCTCGCTCGCTCCTCGGCCCCCTCAGCCCGGCTCGCAGCGCCGAGCCCGCTGTCATCGGCCGGACTGCCCCGCGCCGCGCCGCGCCGCCCGGGGAGGCTGTTCCCACCCCCCGCTCCCCGGCCGCGCGCTTCCACACGCCCCTTCTCCGCCTTCAACCGCCGCCGGGGGCCCCCCGCGCCTCCGCCGTCATGCTGCCTCCCGCCGCTCCGCCACGGCCCGCGAGCGGCTCCGCGACTCGGGTAAACGGAGCGAAGCCGAAGGGAAAGAGGGAAAAGCGCCGACGGGGCTAGACGGAGCGCGAGGAGCGGCCGTTGCTGAGCGGTGATTGACGGCGCCGAGCGGCCAATGAAGAGAAAGAATCGCGGGAGCCCTGCCCTCCGGGCCGGAGTGTGGGAAGGCCGGGACGAGGAGCGCTTGATTGACGGCAGAATCCTCCAACCGGCAGCGGGCCGCGGGGTGGGCGGGGCTTCTCTTGGCGAGGTAAATACGAGGGAAAGGGAAGGGGCGGGGCGCCGTGGGGCGGCTCCGGCCAATCCGCGCGGGGGGCGGTCGCCGCCCGGGGCCGTTGGGGCTTGGGGCGTCTGCGGCCGCGGAGCTTCGGCGGTGCCGTTTCTGAGAAGCGGCCGCGGTCCCGGGCCGGAGCTCTCTGCCCGGTTCCTTTAAGCGTCCCGGTCCGCGGGGCTTCTTGCCGCTGCTCGGGGGCGATGAGAGAAGCCCGTGCCGGCTCCCGGATGCTTGGGAGCGCGTCAGCAGCGCCTCATCCTTTCCAGGAGGCCCTCGGCAGCCGCGCGCGGATGCGCTCCTCGCGGAGGAAGCTGCTGCGAGGGAGTTTGTTCCACCGCCGGCGGAGCGGCCGGAGTTCCGGCAGCACGCAGCGTGCCGTGCTGCGTTGTCATCGCGGCGCTCCGAACTTTATTCTCCCACCCTTCTCGCACAGTAGCGGCTGTGCGCCGCGTTCCGCCTCCGGGTCGGCTTGGCCGCCGCGCATCTGCGCTGCCGTGCGGGTCGCAGTCTGGACGTGCCGGCTGCGAAGCGCAAGTTACCCAGGGCGCGTGAATTGTCAGGGAGTTAGCAAGTGCTGCGTTCTGTTGGCTCGGGGTGGGACGCTGAGAGGTGTGTGGGCTGCAGGGGATGGAGCCTGACGCAGAGGATGCCGGTGAGGCCGGGGCAGAGAAATCAGAGACTTCCTGCCCGACAAAATACAAGGCTGAGCTGAGGGTGAAACTTGGATCTGGTGTCTCTGTTACCGTGTATTTCAAAAAGTAAAAATGCAGTAGCGCTTATGTGGTTGAAGGTGAAGTTAAGCGGTAAGCAACAAGCATGGGAAATTGTGCGTGCAGCACGAAGGCGACCTGCCCAGGCCCATTTCCAGCTGTGAACAGCCCAGCTTTTGAACTGCAAACATGTGGGATGCCTTAGCTTGTAGTCATTTGGGCGCAGAGGAGCTTCACACACATCAGCATGTTTCTTAAGACGTACTCCTAGGTACCAATTTGACAAGTGAACACTTTTAGCATCTAAAATCACAGAATCGCAGATGCTACAGCCTCAGTAATTTCAGTAGGATGTAAATACTGTCAGGTATGTTTAAATGCTTTTGTGAGGTGGAACTTAAATAGTGTATGGAATCCATAAATCAAAGCCATGTGTAGGTAGCAGCTTTATGTGAACACAGAAAAATGTGGATTTGCAGCTTCCTCAATAGAAACCATTGGCTGTATTTCCTTTGGTCATTTTTTCCCTTCTCAGTTCCTTTGTCAGCTCCATCTCTGCTAATGTTAACTTTCTTCTAAGTGTATAGACATTCAATTTTATTTTTTTTTTATCTCCAAAATCCATTTTGAAGAATAAATGGCAATCTTTGGGCGCTTTAAACTGCCAACTCACTCTTTGTAGTAAACGAAATCCTTGCATTCCTTACTTGGTGAATTCACATTGCATTCTGTGGCCTTAGGTCCTGTGCAGGCAGCACTAAGGGGCAAACCCTGTGTGTGTTCCTCTGTTCTTGCCTGCCTTCCAACAGCTGTCATTTTCTTCTGCACCCATTTTTAGAAAGTGACATGATCCCGTGTGTCCTGTATACTGTTTATTGGCAACTCAACCCTTGCTGCCTGTTCCCAGCATACAAGTGCCTACCTTCACGCTTCATCGATTAAATATTTTCAGAACGGTTAATGAGAGGTTTTATAGAGGTTCTGAGCAACATCAATATGTTTTCTGAGATTTAAAGTATCTTCTCCAAGGCTTTGGGACGGTTGCCATGTTGTTTGAAACAATGTTGTAAGATACTGGCAGTTTAAATTTCTGATGCAAAACCCTGAGTAGATAGTAGGTATAGCCTTGCAATGGTGAGATTTTCTTATCAGTTGCATTGGAAAATATTTTGAAGTTGTTTCTTCATTTGTCACTGTTATCGTGTAAGAAATATCAATGAAATCTGAGTCAGTCAAACAAAAAAGTAAGCTGCTTTATTGTTTCGAATAAATGAGAAGTGCTTTTAGCCATTGAGTTTCCAGTTGTCTCTTTAATGAAATTTTTCTGTTTGGGGAAAAAGAACATGCAAGCATTAGCTCTGTGGACCAGCAATAGTTTCCCAGATTGAAAGGTAATGTTTGAATTGATGAATGCTTCAAGAAGTGGTTGCGTGAGGCCAGTTGAACAAAAAGGCCTATGAATTGTGTGTTTGGGGAAAAGGAAAAAATGGAAGAGAGCTGTGGCTGGCAGTCTGAAATAGCTGCATTTGAGAAGGCTGCAGATTACCTTTGCCTGCTTTCTGCACTTACTGCTTCCTACACAGCTGTCTGAACTGCTTCTGAGTCAGCTGTTGAACCCCACGATTTCTAGACTGTATTTAAGGCATACAGCAACGATGCCAGGTTATAAGCTGCTGGCTCCAAATCTAATTCATAAAAGTCTGTGGTGTCCACAGCGAATGTTGTGAATAGTAATTTTATGCCAAGCTGTTCCTGCTCTTCAATCAGAGCCTTCAGTATGCACAGAAGCACTGATTCTGCAAAACCTAGTGTATCTAACTTAGAAGAAGCCTCATCATCATTCATGATCCTTATTCAAAACAGAGATGCAGCATTTTAGAACAGATTTAATTAAAAGTCACATTTGCAGTTCTTTTCATTCAATCACAGAGATTTATTCGTGTATCTTCTTACCATCTTTTTTTTCAGGAGTGAAACCTTTGGGAAGGTGAATGGGAACATGATTTCAGAATGCTGTCCAACTTGGATTGGAAGCATGGGGCTCTGAGTACCAGGTGGTTGCTGATCTTTTGCTACGGGGAATCATCTAGTTGCCAGTAGGCAAGAAGTTAACTATAGTTTTTCTTTCCCACTCTTTTGTATGGGTGCTGAGAAGCCAAGTTTCAAGAAATCCAGTTCTTCTCAGAGATAGTGGGGGGAGTAATTTAGCAAAGAGGATGTCATGAGTATGTGAGCCCTCAGCCAGGAAGGTTTATAGAGAAAAGCTGTGAAGACTTATTTTGATTTCCTTTTCAGAATTTTCAAAGATGATCCATGTTGATTGCAGCAGTGCTTAAATTCACTGTTGTGCAATCCTGTCTGTTTTTCAAGATATTTCAACTAACTTAAAATACTTTCTGAGTTAAGGCTGTGCTCTTTCAAGTATACAGGAATTAAGTTTAAGCACTTGAACTGTCATAATAATAAAACCAAATGAGCTATTCACATGCATCAGGTTAAACTACACTCTGTGATCTGCACTGTCCAGTCTCTGTACAGCAGAAGTCTTCCTAAGTCTTCTGCCTGATAAGTCCTTAAATAATACAGAATCAATTATCTCGGGGACCATCTGCCACCTTCCTCCCAGAGCAGGATTCTGGGATTGGAAACCAGAGATTAGTTGGCAAGAGCTTCTTTTTAAGGGTGCTGAGTTAGATTTCCTTCCACATACCTATGAATACGTCACTACAGTCTTTCCAGGCAAAACTATGCGCGAGGGTATGTGCAGGCAATGGTCTGTTAAAAGTAGCTCTGATTCATGTTGTTATTTTAAAAACCTTTTAATTACATCTTCTGTCAGACAATCCAGCATGATTGGGCTGCAGATAAAAGATTGTTTTGAGAAGTTTGTACACAAGCACATACATACACTCGTACACCGATTGTCATAACTGGTAGGCCAATGAAAGTATATCCCAATGTAACTCCTTAATTCTGTTTGTCTTGAATTATTATTTTGAGTGGAAACAGTGCTGTCTGACAGTGTTACAGGAGCCTGGCTCAGTAAGATGAAAAGCACCCCTAAGGGACATAGGTTTACAACTAAGCTTTCAGAGTCAGTTAGTATCTTTTCCATAATGGCATTCCCTTAGCAAAAATTTACAGCCCATGAGCTTATATATATATATATATAAATCTGTTACCTGAGCTGAAGATCAGTGTATATTTATTTATACTAACATATTTGAGTGTA